TGTTGCCAGTGCAATGGCTGTTGTCTTGGCGTCCATTGTTAAAGTAGAAAACGTTCATGAAGACTCGCTGAATGTTGCAATAAAGCTTGCTAAAGCAGCAGGACTTGCGTACGAAAGCAAGAAAGAATATAAGTCAGCAATTGTCTCTTACCGTACTCGCGAACGTCTTCATACGTCTTCAAATGACAGCAATGATCTTACCACTATTATGATAACTTATGACATTGCAAAATGTTACAAAGAACAAGGAGACTATTCTAAAGCTTTTGAAATATTCGAATCAAATGTTGATACACTTGCCAACCAGAAGTTTGATGATCAAAAGTATGATGATCTAATTGTTGATAACTTGATCGAAAAAGTGCACTGTTACCTCCAAACCTTTCAATATCAAGATGCAGAAAACTGTTTGAATGAAATCCGCCATTATGAGATCAGAGATGAAAAACGTGTCCAAGTATTGATCTATGAAGCATGGTGCAAGCGTCAACAAGGAAAACTTGAGGAAACTTTCAATCTTTACAAGGATGCAGCCAAATTTATCTTAGACAATGATAACTTTGATAAGGCAGAAATACTCAATAACATGGGGTTACTTTTTACAGATCTTGGAATGAAAGATAAGGCCTTTGATTTCATTTGCCGAGCCCAAAATATTAGAAGAAAAATAATTGCACAGAAAAACCATCACTTGCTGGCTGAGTCTCATAAAAATGTTGGGTTATGCCTAGTAGAGAAAGGTGATAGTAAAAATGCAGAAAAAGAGCTGCAGAAAGCTATTGAAATTTACATGAAAATTGGTGATGAAGTTAAAATTTCTGACGTACTCCAAATTTTAGCCAGATGCATGTTGTTACAAGATCATCCAAACTACAATCGTGCCATGAATTATGCACAAGAAGCTATGGGAAAAATGAAACCACAAGTGCCCACGGATTACAATCCGGGAAGTGCGAAAATCCTGTCAATTTTCGGTAGGTGTTTTCTCAAAACTGGAAGATGTGAAGAAGCCGAGGAAAATTTTATAAAAGCTTCACGTTTGATTGAAGATTCGCTTTCCAAAAATCATCCACAGCTCATTGAAATCTACGAACTTCTTTACCAACTTTATGATATGGATGGCCAACCCAAGCTGGCTGAAAAGTGCAAAAAGGAAAAAAGGCGCATTAGCGATGAAATAGAAAAAATAGCTTTGAAAGTAAAAGATTCTGATGAAATTCTGCAATGGAAAGAACAATAAATAACGATTTTCGTAGTTATACTTTTTATTTGCTTGATTTTTATTCCTTTAATTGCCTATTTAGTTGTTAATTGTATTCATTTGTAGCCAGAGAAGCCACGAAAGAGCTCAAATATAGCTTGCTAAGAAACTTTGCATAGTTTGTCAACTTTATATTTAGTAACTTTTTTTCTGTTTCAATAGTCAGACAATACACTACTGTGTGTTACTGTCGTTAAATGCTTCCCATTTTTCTTTATTAAAGTTTTACTATGCAGTTATTTGTTACATTTGGTCATCGGCAATAATAATTGGTGAAAGGTTTTACATATTTTTGCACTTTTTGAAATGTCGCTCATGTCACGTTTTCAAAATGTTATTTATGTTCCCTTTTTGAAAAGTCGTTCATGTCGTCATTTATGAAATGTTATTCATGTCGTCGTTTTTTAAATGCTGTCCATGTCGTCGTTTTCTAAATTTCGTTCATTTCGCTTTTTCGAAATGTGGTTAAGCTATGTTCTCCTTTTGAACTGTCATTCATGACGTCTTTTTGAAATATCGTTTATTTCATCTTTTTTAAATGTCATTTCTTTCGTGTTTTTGGAAATTTCGTTCACAAAAGTTGAGTTTTGCTCATTGTATTACAAGTTCTTGTTGTCGTTTCAAATTTTAGTCGAATATTTAAAATCCAAGAGCTAATTTGCGCAAAGCACACAGGGTTTGTACGACAAGTAATACCGTGTGAATATATATGGAGGTTTGTTTTAGACGTGTGGTCCGTGGAAGTTGGAGATACGAGTTGAGCGGACAGGAGGTCAATGGAAGTTTGGTACTTTGAGTATACCTTCATGGTGGTCTGTGGTGTTTTGGCAAAAGACGTAAATTGGAATTGGGGTCTATGGAGATTTGGTGCAAGGAGTGGAGGAGTATGGTGTTTGGCAATAGGAGTAGAGGTAAATGGTGGTCTATGAAGGTTTGGTATTAGTTGTAGACGAATGATGATTTATGGGGTTTTGCACTATGAGTGGAGAAAGATGGTGATCTATGACGGTTGTTATATAGAGTAGAGATGCATATATAGGGAGAAAATCAGTTGCATTGTTTAGTTAAAGGGGAAGTCAGACCCCAAAAAAACTTTTTATCAAATGAAAGATTTTATTTTTACAAACCATATTCCAAAGTTTGACAGCTCCAATCAAAATTATACCGGAGATATGAAACCACAAAATCATGAAATTTTGCTGTAAAAGCTGCAGCCATTGTATACATGCGAGCGAAGCCGCGATCGAGCAGCGGCTTCCGTTCTTGACGTCACTGCGCGGTAAGGAACTTTCAATCAACATCACATAACACATAATCATTTGTGAAAGCTCTCTGTATTTATCATTTTAAACTTGCTTAATAAATAACGTGATGGATACGAATGATTCATACGAATTTTCAAGTGATCACTCTGTTGTGAGTGATATATTTCCGGAAAATGAGCAAATAATGGTGTACGAAAACATGATTCAGCCGGTCGGCGTTAGATCATAGGTGAGATATGCACATATACGAAACTGCGCTTAATGTTGGTCTGCGGTATTCCACAGTGACTCTTTCCATGTAAATCGCGAATTATGCGTCCGTGGATTATTCGATTTTTTGTACCGTTTTGTATATTGTATTATATTTATTGGTTTTCTCGTATATATATATATATGTTGCAACACAAATTTAAACCATGATTGAATTCAAAGATTGTTCTTGAACTACAAGGTTGGTTTACGAAATTTTATCTTGTTTACAATAACATCTATCTGAAAGACAAAAGTATGGTTGAATAACATTGGGAATCGAGATAATTTCAACCCACATATGGAAATAAACCTTATTTTGCAATGAAACATTTTTCATTGCAATCATTATTCTCACGATTTGCTGATTTCAAAATGTTTGTTATATTAAATTTTAGTTATTCTAGTGCCATGTTTTTCTAAATTATGCATCAAACTTCTTAACTTCCTCTGTTCATTAATTTTGGATTGTTTACAAGAAGCTTGCTATGATCATTTGATATAATGTTTTAAGAGGTTTTCCAAAAGTATAAACTGGCATGTAAGAATCATGATATTACATAAACCAAACAACAATGGTTTAGCTCTAACAGGTTATATAATTTGTTAATTTTTAAAATTACAAATTTGTTAGGAAATTCCTTATGAAGTTATGACGTTTATATTAATTGAATGACACCAATATACATGAGATTATGATATTTATATTAATATATATTAATATTTTCAAAGGAGCAGTACATCATTAATCATTAACCCTTCTGTGCAACAGATGGTAATAAAAAAACAGAAATTTGAGTTATTTTTGCATAAACACTAGTTATCAAACTAACAAGTTGTCCATAGTGAAAAAGATTGTAATCTTGATGAACTGTATGGTATATATTGCAAATTGCAAACACCTTAGTTTTCACCTAATCCCGGCAAACTGTTTTCAATTTGTTCATGTATTTGGCTACACAGCCTATTACACCTTTGCAGTTCAAAGATATGTCTAAAGTCAGGGAATCTGGGAAACTTAGATGCACGATTTCTTATGAGATGTTACTGTTTATGATGTCATTTTGCTAATATGTGTTAAAAAATGTTCTTTAATAGTTACTAACCTACATGATTATTTAACTTGTTCCATACATATATTAGAAGAAAGAGCTGAACTTGTCAAATTATTTTATATGTGCACAATATTTACACAGCTAAGCATCTCCTTGAACAGGGATCTTAATGAAATTTACAGATAGTCACATACTGCATTACTTATAAAAATTTGTAATTCTTAAGATTTAATAAACTGTTGTGAAACAATTCAGAAAGAAAAGGAAGAGCTCCTCTTTAGAAAATTTAGCAAGATACTTCACAATATGAACATAAGAATGGTTTATCTGTTACTAATGCTGTACTTTGCTTTACAGAAAGTTTGATGCAATTGTAAGGAGGTTGATGATGATACCAATTCTTACAGTTATTGCAGTAAACCATTTCAGCTTCAGGGATATGCCGAAAACAAACACAGTATACACTGATGACGTAATGACTTAGTGTACAAACTGCAGAATTCACACGATGTGGAAACATTTCCAATTTCATTTGCTTGAAACATTTCATCAAATGGGTACGCATATCTTGCTGTAACCACGAAATCTTGCAAGGGTCTATCCCCTGAGCAAGTGCGACTGCATTTGCTATGCTAAATAGGCCACAGTCAGATCCTCCCTTCTGACGCTGTTGAAGTACCACCGTAACGTCAAGTGAGCCATCGTCAAGACAAAGTCCTTTGTACAAATTAATGATTTGCCGTCTCAAAGAAGCATTCAAGCTGGTGTTTAGACTTTCATAGACAATGACTTTTCCTGTGATGGAGCTTGACGTGACCCAGTGTAAACCAGTATTATGGCATTGAATGGTTTGATTTTGCTCATGGGGGAGCGCGAATCTACTGGAGTAAGTCATTGTCACAATGGAATTAAGGCCACCAACATTTGTTTCCATGTTTTTGATGAGATGTTGTGCAGCATCAACATGGTCGTCAGTTAGCCATCCGCAATTACTCGCCAATATTTCTTTTGCCGATACGTCAATCCAATGCCGTTGATCTTTACCCAGCAGTCATGAGGATTGATTGTTTCTTCTGAAAAATCCTTCTTTGTTTTTTACTTTTTTTCCATGTGATAACTCACTGTGTATATTCCTCTTTCTTTCCTCTTTTATTCCACCATCATCATCTATTAGAATTGTTTTGCTCCTAGCTTCAGCAACTGCACCAACTCTTTTACTAATTTTTTCGCTCTCTGCTTTAACTGGCGAGTTTTTGTCTGCTTTTGAGCCTGTGTTTTTATCACCTGTTTTTTAGGTGACAAAGACTTGTCTTTCAACGATACACCCTCTTCATTAGGATGATTCTTCCTTGTGTACGCAATTATTTCGTCAAGCATAACCAGGGCTTTACTCAGAACGTTCCTATCTGTAACCACATACAGTTCATCTTGAAGACTCTTCAATGATTGGATGCATTGCTTACGTATGTTAGACTTTCTCCGGTAAGAAAGGTTTCTATTATTTGATTTGCTGACATGTATTACCTGATCACTATCCTTTTTCTCTATTATGTGTTGCTCAGGTGTGTATTCTGAATTTGACGATGGTTTTGTAGCGGAAGAGGAAGACCGTTGAGTTATCACTTTATCCAAAGTAAACAGGGGGTACTTGTCGAATTTTCTGCCCAATGATTCCCACCCTATGTCTGGCTGTTGAACAACTGCGCATATGTGCTTGCAGAGAAGTTTCTTTGTTCGAAAGTCGAGACACTGACACGATGGTAACTCTTCGTCTGAGCCAAGCCTTACTTGGTATGCGCATTCTGCTCCTTGTACGATGAAAAGCTTTGGAGTCTCTTTTTTAATGTTTGAAATCTGGATGCCAGAGTCGATTCTACTGATGATATGTTGAACAACACCTCTGGGTCGGTCGTGGAGATACTTTGGAACACGATCATCGTAGCCTCGATATGATGACGTACATCGAATGTTTTGCTCTTTGTATCTATGTAAAATTACCATACGTACATGAGAAAACTTACAAAATTTTAAAGAAGACGATCATAATCAAGTTGTACAAATTCTCAAGGAGCGGATATTGTACCATCACTTACTTCTTGTAACTATCAGGTAAAAAATGGTTGATTATTACGTCAACCAGATCAGACACCGAGTTATTTCGTCTACTTTCGAGATATGAGTGCTTGAGCCAGTTATTTTGTCTTTCGATACCATTGTTTGTATAAATTGCAATACGAAGATGTTCATCTCGAAAAAAGCGAACCCATTTCTAAAGCATAAAGTCAGTAATAATGCAACAAATACTTTAATTTAAGTATGGTGGTAAATACATTCATAACTATATTTATAACATAATAGACAATGTACGTCTGAAGGGCATATAAGCATGTGTGTTTTCCTGGGAGCATAATTTATTGTTCCTTCTTGGTATTGTGAGTCTTACCTCTAAGTATAAACCCCAAAAGTCTAAAAAATAGTTTTGTAGTTGGACTGATTCCTTCCATGGCCTGCTTTTTTTGAGTGCCTGGATGTTCTCATCAAGAGTGGCTTGGTTTTCACTCTGGGCGATGTTTCGCAAGTGCCTCAACACTTCATCTTTATACATACTCACACCATTACTACTTTTAGATAACCATTCACCCCAGGCTTTTTCGCGGTGAAAATCGCACACGTGGACATGCGTTTCTTAACAATTAGAAAGAAAATGTTTTTAAAAATTTGTAAAACTAGGGGGTAACATTTTATGATTGACAGTGCAAAATTATTTTATTTTAGATAACTACACAATCACACGTCGCTCTTTCATGAGTACAACGAATTCATTAACATGGCAGTAAGTGTTTTTTTGAATGAGTTCCTTATGTCCACCAATGATTGTGTTTTGTCATATATATGGCTATTCTTTCTTACTAGGAAAACACTCTTCAATCGCGGAAATTTCTGCCAGTGAGAAGTCCACCATCATGTTTCTGGGGTTCCACTCGGATTTTCCCTGCTCAATATTCGAGTACCTCGGATATTGAGCCAGTGTCTTCATTTTCTGGAATAAAACTGCGACGACAATGTATCCAACATTTGATCTGACGCATAAAAAGAAGAGTGGCAAGGCGTACCATCACAATGGAAAATGTGTTCACAGTTTTTTCCTGCTTGAATAGTATTTGCATCACATCTCTTCACCTGCATGTTCTGTATGTAGCATCCATGAGACACATCTCCTGCCCGTACAATAATAATAGGCGCTTCATCCACTTCGCTTGATACACAAATAAAAAAGTGCTTTTTACGTGTTTTTCATCTTCCGCCGTCAATGGCTGTTAAATAAGTAAAAATTATACAACTGGAGTTAATATGGCAAGTTTTGTTAGCGCAAGGTAGACAATGATACATTACCCTGTAAAAGATAAAGTCTTCGGGATGTAACTCATGCCACTCAGATAATTTTGTCTCCAAATTTAATTGGTCATCTGGAGATCTTTGTTTTCCAGATCGGGTTGCATTTAAGATGTTCCTTATATCGACGTCTGTTGGATAATAACGGCGGCTTGACTCAGCTGGCAAATCTTTACTATTGAATAAATGCCCATTTACAAACTTTTCCAAATGCCGACGTACTTCGGCAACACTGCGGACACCTATGACTTGCATTTCTTTTATTTTTTGCACTACTTGTGCATCTATTGGCTCTCTCAAACCTGCTACCTGTGTTTATTGGGAATTTGGGTATATTTTGTTTACTAAAAATGTAGCCGTTTTTTTTATCTTAATTAGTGAAGATTTTACCTCTCCTTCCGTCACATGATATTTATGACTATCCATACTTGGAAGCTTCAAGAGAAACGTATCTTCAATAATCAGATTTTCCCACGATTTCAACGCGTTTTTCAGTAAGGATGTTCTTTCTTGCATTTTTCTTCGTGGTTTTATAGCACCAGAAGAAACCTCAACCTAAATTGTCATATTACATTAAAGAACGTGGGATTTAATACTTCAGAAATTTTAAGTTTGCTGTTGAAAACTAGACATCAGTTTGACTTAAGTATATGAACCGAATTTTATCTTACCTTGTACTGTGGGAATTTAAAAATCCGTGACATATATACTTTGCTCGGACATCCAATTTTTTTGGTAGGTTGAAAATGTTTTTTCCGTTTTCTAAACGTGTGATCGTGACCCTAAAAAAACAAACGACAAAAATATGTTAGAACAAAGAACCAGGGCTGTCACTGGTAAATTTGTGAAAATGTGTGTAGTAAAAGTGACGATATAGAGTTGTAAGTACCTCATTTTCATCTCTTTCCTTTGCTCTTTTTGTTTTCGTACTTTTATCAATATCTTCACCTTGATGACAATGATAATTCAATGTTCCAATACAAATAAATGGAATTCCATCAAAGGCGTATGAAATTCCATCTGAATTGGAAAGGCTCCATTGCACCCTTGACAAAGACTTTCCAGAATTCATCACCTCTTTAATGGTTTTGCCTTGAAAATATGAGCCCTTTGATCAGTATTAATCTCTCAAATTGCAGAATTATTGATAATAAACTACAATAATAATTAGCAATGAAAAGTGTATCATTTGTTCATTCATGCTTTATATAATCGCAACAATCGAAATCTCGGACGGCACGATTAAATATAATATATTGTATGAATTCTGACGTGAAGTTATGTGATTATTGTAGACATTACAATGATTACATACTTACCGAAAAGTGCATTTGAACTCACACATCTCCATCCCGAGCGCGTGTCTTTTGTATTCCTCAAAATTTTCCCATATGTCTTTCTGCCATGAAAACATTTTAATCGAAGAACAGCACGAGTCCATTGTTGTTTTTTAAAAATTCGCGGTGAAAGCGCGCAATCTTAAAGAGTTCTGGGTGGATTGTTACTGCTGACCGCAATTAAGCGCAGTTTCGTATATGTGCATATCTCACCTATGATCTAACGCCGACCGATTCAGCCTTACTCATATGAACCGGTTGAAACCGACTTGGGTAGCGACGCCGAAGACGATTCGCAAGGAACGAGTGCTGAGTCTTCAATTGAATCTGGCTCAAATAGACTTCAAGATAAGTACTGGTAATAGTTATCTACAAATATTTGATTTTTTTTTTCATTAAGTGTACGAAATATACGCCAAAGTCAAATCCGTAAATGACTTTCTTCTTTCAAGGTGTACATGCGGTCATTGTCAAATAATGGACAGACATGAAGAATGTATATGTTGCAAAGAGATTGCTGCTTGCAGGGATATTAATGAAGAGTCAGCTGAATTCGAGGGTATTGATGTTCCAGAATGTATCACTGACAACCCTGTATTCCAAAATTTATGTTTAAATTACTGGGTATTGAGATTGGCGTGGAGTCAATACAAGCAGCAGTATGGGAAAAGTGCTTTTGAAGGACCAGAGCATAAGAGGCAAAGGCATGTTGCTTACAGACAATTTGTAAGATGGTGTTGGGGAATTTTGGGAAAAGAAATAAGGAATCCTTTGCCATCTTGTGCTGTTTGTTGTATTCGGGCACATTTCCCTCCACCTGGTCTAGAAGAAGATTTTGTATTTAAAGGTTTTGAATTTGCTGATGAGTGATGCAGGTATAGTTTCATTATTTTTTCTTGCCCATCCTTGACCTATGAGCATATATCACTTCCTCTTTACTTGGCTTGGGTACATTTACAATGTTTTTGGGAATGTTACTTAACCTTGCTGTTGGAATTTGATGGTCATATGAGGCAACATTTTCCATTAGGCTTTGCACAAAGGAAAATGATTTGTTCTCTGTTATTGGTTTGGCTATCCATTTATTACGGCCTTTTGGAAAAACTATTTTGTATCTGGAATTGCCATTTTTCAACTGAGCTTGTTTTCTTTCAGTGTTTGAATTATGATCGATCACAGCCAATTGGGTTCTTGCAACCATGCCATTGTATGAAAAATGAAGGCGTTTTGGAACATATTTCAATAGTAATGAATAGTACACTTCCAGGTTGCCAGTGTGATGGAATTCTGTAAGTTTTGTTATGTCTTTCAACAATTTCTTGTTCAAAACGACATCTTCTAAGGCAATGTAGTCTGCAGACCGTGGTGTTAACCATTTTGTCTTTCTTTCTCTCCTCCTAGAAAGCTTTTCGTGTGAACACTTCCTAAAATACTTACTACTTTTCCATTGGTGTATGTTTATAACATGATTCAAAATAGACACCCACTTTTCACATAGAATATCAGCGTTTCCTTCACATGTTTGCGCACACCACCACAGATGGTTCGACACTGACTGAATCCACTTTTGAAGGGAAGCATGTTTTTTTGCTTTTTTGGTAAGCTTTTTTGTTATCCATTTAGATAAGTGCCATACATCATATTGGTGAATAATATGAGGATATTTTTTCTGCAGCTCTGATGTTATTTGGATGTGGCGATCTGTGGTCAATGATCTAATTTGGAGTTTTTCACCCATGACATTATTTAAAGATCTCTGGCAACCTTCATTCTCCATTGCATTGGAAGAAGACACTTCAGATACCTGTATCAAAGAAAAATCAACAATTTTCCCACTGTTTTCTTCCATCAGCGTGTATGTGCCATACTTTGCATTGTGACCTGGACTATCACATCTTCCATCACCACATAAATCTATTGGTATGTCTGCCTTGGTATATTTTTCTATTATAGTTTTTTGCTGTTTTCTATAGGTGCTATTAATCACTGGAAAGACAATTTCATCCTGCATATTATAGAACTGGTCCTTGTTCACAAAACCTAAGTTCACTATTGAATGTGCACTATTGTTCATGGGACTAGAGATTTTTGAAAAGTTACTGTATTTTATTTTCCTTCTTGGCTTTTTCCTCTGTGCCAGTGTCTGAACTGCAATACTGCGTGTTGAAATCTTTTCACACTGTGTTTCAGCATCAACACTACTTGGAGTATCACTATCACATAGTATTGCCACACTTCTTCCAGCTAAAGTATCTATTTCTGGCTCTATTTCAGTCATGGTCATGGACAATGTGAGTGAAGAGTCTTCAGCATCACTGGGTTGTTCAAGCATACTGGCTAATTCCTGCACATTGTGGAATTTAGATTCATTTAATTAAAAAATGTTTCAAGTGTAATGTTCAAAAGAAAATTTTAATATAATGATCTCACTTATATATATCAATACATACTTATTCATGCTCAAGATAAATAATATCAAAAATTATTCTGTAAAAATAACATTAATGGGCTACCTCTTGCATCGCTTTTCTTTTCTGCCTCTTACTTGAGGATTCCCGCTCTGGTTTACGCTTTAGAAAGGGGAATATTGAAGGGACACTACCGGGTTTTAATGCTTTTTTTGCTTTCATTCCAAATAAATCTTTCAGGGAACCTTCAAAACAATCTGGCGTGAAATGCGCGCTGCACACATAGCATGAATTAGGTTTAGGCAAATTATCACGTCGAATTCGCCCTAGCCACATTTTACGAATATATTGATCATTTGGCAAGCGATGGTAAGATATTTCACTTCCTTTGGTTTTTTTTGAACAATTAGTGCAACCGGGTACCATACAGTAAGGCATATTTATAAAGAAAGGAAAATAAATATCGAGAAAGAAACACGCATCGAAGACTTTGTGTTTGTTTTGTATATGAAATTTTGAGCGCTATCGCGCTCACCGCGCAGTGACGTCAAGAACGGAAGCCGCTGCTTGATCGCGGCTTCGCTCGCATGTATACAATGGCTGCAGCTTTTACAGCAAAATTTCATGATTTTGTGGTTTCATATCTCCGGTATAATTTTGATTGGAGCTTTCAAACTTTGGAATATGGTTTGTAAAAATAAAATCTTTCATTTGATAAAAAGTTTTTTTGGGATCTGACTTCCCCTTTAAATACTATTTGGAATTCATTTTTAAAATATTACAACAATATTACATAGTATTGCATAATATTACATAAAATTACATAATATTGCAGACAATAAGAGAGACATTGATGGTCGGGCCTGGAATTGTTGCTACAATGTCAATGGTAAAAATGTGATGTTTTTTATTCGGTAAGTCTTCCTGTAACCTTATGAATCGTTTTATTACAACAGGACGGTGGACTTCAGCTCCAGAAGCTAGCATCACACGACAAGGTGAAATCAATATTGAATAGACAACATGAACATTTTATTAGATATCTAAAGAGGGCAATGGTGTGTTTTATACAATTGAATGGACAACATGAACATTTGACTAGATACGTAGAAAAGGCAACCATGAATTTTATAACATTAAATACAAAACATGAACATATGATTAGATATCTAGAGAAGATAATCGTGTGCTTTATATTATTGATTTATAGTATCATGCCTTCCAAGAAAAAAGTTCTTAATTGAAATTTTTATATTTTTTTAGTTAGTCTGGATTATATGGGCGATGTCTTTTTATATTTCTCAGATGAATGATGGTGATGGAATAAGCATTTATGAAGCCGTGAAACAGCAAAGTATTTTAATCTCTATAAGATTGGTTAGTGACTTCTCTACAGATATGTGGTATGTTGTTTCTAGCTTATTGTATACAGCAAACATCGCCTGTGTCGTAACACATTACTATCACATCATAATACCACTAAACGTTCATATAATACACTATATCCTGATATATATTATGCCATTCCACCCGTGCATACTTAATTACTACAGCTTATCCTCATATTTCATGCCATTCCTTCCGTGAATACCCACATAAAACATTATAGCTCATACATCATGTTACGACCCATGTATGAATTTTTCAGAAAACGAAGATGTCATACTAACTACGATCATGTATCCGACAAGAACTTGGCAAAATGCTACTTTGGTTTTAATGAAGTGCTTTGGTGTGTTTTAGCTCGATTTGTGAGACTCATTTTTCCCAGATTTGACATTTTGTGAGATCTTCTTGATCCAATGCAGGTGCATTTTACATTTATTAATTGCTGTAGTATATTTTTTAAATATATTAATTCTTATAGCATAATCTTTTTAAACTAATTAGCTGTTGTGGTATATTTTTAAACTGTGTAAGTTTTAATAGGTTGAAGTATAAAATATTGTATAAAGCTTTAAATGCTTACTTAACGTATAGTATTTTATTGGACTGGAAATTAGTCTTAATTAATTTGGAGCCATGTTTCATTGGATTGTACGCACCACATAAACGTAAGAGATTTTAAGTTCTTGAAAAACCTAAGCAGTAAATTTTTATACATTCTCAACAAGTATGAACTTGAAAATTTTAATTGGCTTTGTGGAGTTTACAATTATGTAGCAGCTTACAATGCATGTGGAAATCTTTGATGTGAAGTTAGGAAAGTATGGATGGAGGTGGATGATTGCTCTTTGTAATACTGTAGACTTTATTGTGAATATTTCATGATTTAGTACATGCACAATTCGCAATAATTAATAAATGTACTTTTGCAGGTCCAGGTTCTCGCAAAGTTTTCCTTTGAAAGTCACGTAAAATGTTATCCAAGCTGAGAGCAAAAAGGCGACAAAAACAATAACAATGAAGATATTGAAATGGTATGTTTCATATTGAATCGATAGTAAATAATATCATACTGCAGACATACGTAGTCTGTGATGATCTGTAATGGAGGAAAGGAGAAGAAAGTTAATCAATTGCGTTGCCAAATATTTTCCAGCCTTATCAATCATCATTGCATTCAAACACGTTTTTCGTAATGATGTAGGACTTACCTTTATAATTCAGCTTTTCTTTATTTATATTTTTCACGAATCAAGTCCAACCACTGGAGTTGATCCTTTGTCACGGGAAATGTTGAAGAAGTATGTTATTTATGCGAAAGATAAAATAAATAAAAGGTTAAATGATATGGATGAAGATAAAAGAGTATTTGCTTACTCGAGACGCAAATCTATGGTAATTATGGGCGTGATAATTTGGTCAATAGGCTACGGTAGTTGAAATCATGATCTGTGTAACTATACATTTTAAGGTGGTTCTCTCAATAAACTATGGTATATGTAACTATACGTTGTTGGTTTTTTCTCGAAATGAGCTACGTAGACATAAAAGTACTCATAAAAGTAAACATAAAGGAGAACACAAAAATAGACTTGAATATAGTCACTAAGTTACACATAAAACATAAAAATAGACATAAACGCACCCAAAAGATAACGTAGACATAAAGGTAGACAAGAAGGTAGACAAAAAGGTAGACAAAAGGTAGACATAAAGGTAGACATAAAGGTTAACATAAAGGTAGACATAAAGGTAGACATAAAGGTAGACATAAAGGTAGACTGAAAGGTAGACATAAAAGTAGACATAAAGGTAGACATAAAGGTAAACATAAAGGTAGACATAAAAGTAGACATAAAGGTGAACATAAAGGTAGACATAAAAGTAGACATAAAGATAAACATAAAGATATACATTAAGGTAGACATAAAGGTAGACATGCATAAAGGTAGATATAAAGGTAGACATAAATGAAAACATAAAGATAGTCACAATTTTTTCAGGTTTATGAGACAATTGCTTAAATTGTCCAACAAAGTGCGAAGATCATATCTTCATTTAATTTCAAACACCGCACTGCATAAAACATTCATATAACATTCGTTTCACGAGAAAACATGAGCCCAACAAAATTGACCTGCTCACCACTGTGTGACTTCATAGCTCAGTTGGTCAGAGCACTGCACCGGCACCGCAGAGATCATGGGTTCGATTCCCGTTGAGTCACCTGATTTTTTCAGGCTTATGAGACAATTGCTTAAATTGTCCAACAAAGTGCGAAGATCATATCTTCATTTAATTTCAAACACCGCACTGCATAAAACATTCATAAGACTATTATTCATGCATTTTCACAAATTTTGACATTTTTTCTCACAAAAACTATAATTCATGCATTTTTACAAAATTTTACAAATTTTCACACAAAGACTATAATTCACGCATTTTTCACACATTTTTACAAATTTTCACACAAAGACTATAATTTATGCATTTTCACACATTTTTTACAAATTTTCACACAAGACTATAATTTATGCATTTTCACAAATTTTCAAACTTTTTCCAACAAGGACTATAATTCATCCACTTCCACAAATTTTTGATTTTTTTCACACAAAGACTATAATTTATGCATTTTCACATTTTTACAAATTTTCACACCAAGACTATTATTCATGCATTTTCACAAATTTTGACATTTTTTCTCACAAAAACTATAATTCATGCATTTTTACAAATTTTTACAAATTTTCACACAAAGACTATAATTCACGCATTTTTCACACATTTTTACAAATTTTCACACAAAGACAATAATTCATGCACTTTCACAAATTTTTAAACTTTTTCGCACAAAGACAAAAATTCATGTATTTTAACAAATTTTCGCATTTTTTCACACAAAGACTATAATTCAAGCATTTTTACAAATTTTCTTTGGTTTTCACACATAGACTAAAATTCATGCATTTTCTGAAATTTTCATACTTTTTCACAAAAAGACTATGATTCATGAATTTTCAAAAATTTTAACATTTTTACATGCAAAGAGTATAATTTTTGAATTTTCACACATTTTTACTCCTTTTCACAAAATGACTATAATTCACGCATTTTCATGCATTTTTACAAAGTTTGACACAAAGACTATTATTCATGCATTTTTACAAATTTTGACAGTCTTTCACGAAAAGACTATAATTCACACATTTTCACACAAAAGACAATAATTGAAGCATTGACTCACGTATTTCAAAAAAAGACAATAATTGAAGCATTTTCACACCAAAGACAATAATTCATGCATTTTCACAAAAAAGGCTATGAACGAAACCTAATTCATTTTTGTTCTATTAAATCTTGAAGGAAATACATTCCATTGACGAGAGCTTTGCCTAGTAATGTAAATTAAATTTATAATTTGTATGCATGCTTCATTTTTTTACATAAATAAAATAGGTTGTTTTATGCATTTGTAAGTCCTAAAGTTTCGGCTACAATAGATCACTGCATTTGCATCCCTTTTTTTCGCAAAACAGAAAAATATACATTTCATTATCCATTTAATTCTTTAAATAAGGAAATATTGATCATCGTTCTGCCAAAGCAACTTAAGGATGTTTTTCTCGATGTCTAACCAAACACATGTGCATTAATGTTTAAGAAATTCCGCTTTATTTAAGGTACCAGATTATAACCACTAATTTTTTGTTAATTCCATAGCGTTGTGAAGCTTCTTATGAAAAAATAAACCAGCACTGATACACTTGTTAAGTAGATTTTTTTGGCTCACTTCGTTTAATTTAAGGAAACGATTGCGAACACTGTAGTTATGTATAGACCACACATATATTGTGCAGGATAAAACTATTATAATAACGAATTGTTTTGTTATGTTGAAGGAGCTATAATACAACTTTCAAATCTTAATGTGCTGCTGTCTTATGCGTTTTACAATCTGTCGAGCTCTGTTGTCTTAAGGAATTAATCATTTTATTGTTAATTGCTAGCCATTGTCTTTTTTGTGTTTTGCACCCTCATTGTGTACACTGTGCAAAAGTGTAAACACAACTTAGAGCCTAGAGTTTTGAATTCAAATTGTACTTTCGAAATATAATAATGATACGGCGGAAAGGAGGAGTCGAAAATTGAGTATCTTCATAAAGATTAAGCCATCTTGGACATATTAATTGTAATGACTAATGAGTAACAGTCAGGTAAGAGGTGCTTCTTTGAGAACCGTTGTAATGGATCCATAATGTCGTTACATGCACTCACATTGACTAATGTCTTTACGTCCCTTTTAGAGATCTTGAAAAATAAATTATCTGTACCTTAAATCAATTAACATGGAAATGATTTGCGATGTTTCAAAAAGGCAAGTGTGTATTTTGTGAAGATTGGTTTTATCCGTTTAGAAATGTCAAATGCCCTGACTGTGTTCGATATACATTTACAAAGCATGCAAATGACGACAAAGATGCTGTAACGTGAATCTTGAGCTGGCAAAAACCTATGGAATGAAATGGAATTTAACGGATATTTCTGTGGTACAATTGATTTATCTTGAATTGTTCCTCAGGTTGTTTAACGTCGCAAACACAGAACTGTTAATGTAAATCAAGCTGCATTCAAAAGAATGGATCTCGTTTTCTTTATTGAAATCAACAATTTTCCAGTAAAATTACGTCTAGAAACGATGAAGGTGATTTGTCTTAGTTAAAGACTATCTCATGTAAAGTTTGCTTTTCGGCTTTTCCTCCACCTCACGCTGAAGAACTTCCAACAACACTGAGTGGGGAAAGTGACAAAGTCAAATTGTTGGCATTGAGGAATTTTTAGTTTTTTCAAAAAATTCGTGCACAACACGCAACAGTTTTAAAAAAAAATTATCAAGGTCCTTCAAAAGACAAGCAGCTCGCACGAGAAGAAAAAAACTTTCCAGCCTATGTAGATGCTACCCGATGAAGAGCTAGACCAAAAGCATATTAAAGATAATGCTTCATTGGATTTTTCCTCTTTTAAAGAATCTAGTCAATCGGGAGATATGGACAAATGTATAACAAAAAACTCAATATAAGGTTGGTGCACTATGATATTTATATAGGCTATGCTTCAGATTCATGTAAATTACTCAATAAATCTATTTTGTATGATAGGATTGATGAAGAAACCATGTAGTATTCATAATGAGTCAGTGTTTTTTTGTCTATCACCTTCTTAAAACTCTTATGTTCATGTGAAGCACAAATTCGTACCAAATGTTTGAAGGGAATTTCACACATGAAGTATAGCCAACCTTCGATTTTGAGAAAGCATCCAGCTGATAATGTGATGACAAACATTAGTATTCTATCATCTTATTCTTAATTATACTTACTGTGTACATCTGTAGCACATAAACTTAATTTCTTATAATAATATAATTAGACAGGCATAACTTGAAATAATTTCATCTTTTCGGGCAAAGAAGTAGGCAGCAGCAATACGAAGGAATTTGATGGTGCAAAAAGTGCATTTGAATTTCTAAAGAAATGTACTCATTCGACATTTTTTAATATTGATATTAAATTGGATATTTTTAAAACAAGCTCTCACCATGGTTTTTCATGGAATTTCAATGTATTGCATTGATTGCGACCGCTTGTCTATTTTGAGGAGAGACTCGAACAATTATTAATACGTCCCCCATGAATCAAGCAAAATACTTTAATAAAAGATTAACTCCAGTTAAGGCATGTGATAAAAATAGTGATTTACATGAATTTTGCATGCAATGGAAACAATTTTATTAAGTCATACAAGCAGGGGCGTAACTATTGGGGTATGTGGGTGTTACACCCCCAAAATATGAAAACAGTGCTTTTTCGGGACAATTTGCTGTCAAGTTGCAGGGCAAACTCAAGGTAGGAAAATATTTTTTACATGAAGAACAATAACATAGACGTAGCTCAAAATAGCAATAACAAACAAGCACGAACAAAGCAGGTGCTCTCTTTAGAAAATGCCCAAGTTTAATTTTATTTTTGTGATATCATTTTCAAGTATGATTGTGAGAAAGACGAAGAATCTGGAAGTGTGGATACAAAAGTTTGGCAATCATCTCACCATTGGATACGCTATTAAACAGCATTATTGGATACGTGCCCCAAAAATTTGTTTTGTCCACTCCTCAATATAGTTCTCCAATTTTATTTATGCATAGAACAGTTTTTAGGGTCTCCCAGTCGGTTAATTTAAAGCATTTTTTAAGATTGAGAGCACCCCCACCCTGAGTCACTCTGCTACAGCCACACTTACATTGATCTTTTCTTTGATCTAAATGCATGGAAAAAGATTACAGCAAAGGCATATCTTTACCTTACATTGCAATGATAAAACATTGTAGTGAAGGCATTGCAAAAGGACTGGACATGGCACACATGCGAAACATTATGATCATGTTTGAGTTTAACTCCACCAAAAATTATTGTTAAATTTTGACAAATTTTTACGTATTC